AGTTGTAATATTAAGTCAGATATGCGTACCACGTACAGTTACACTTAAAAGAGCTCAACTGAGATAAAAAAATCTGAAACATAAAATTTGATTCAATCGAACAATTTTAAATGAAAAGATAATGCTAAGGATAATCAACAAAAATAACAAAAAAAATATTTAAAACTGATAGTAAGTGCAATTCTCAGCCCGATTTGAGTTAAAAGCGTTGGACGCTTTTTATTTTTTGGTCATTATGCATTCTTGAAAAAACGGGATGAAAAAACTTGCATACAAGGTATTGGTTCTGACCTATAGATAAGAATTGGCACACAAATCTCGGAAATGTATTTTTAATTCCTTAATGCCAAATATTCGTGGAGTCCCCTTTAATCCTATTATCATGTGTTATAAGTATTATAATACAATTATTACACTATCGGTGGAGAAATTACTGAAAAAACCTAATAATTTCGCACGCAGCAAGATGGAATAAGGTATCTGACACTTTAAGAGGGAAATATGATATTGTCACCTTTTCTACTTATTCACTTCAGAGTTGGGGTCCTTTCATATGATGATAAATGAATGGGAAATGGTTTCTTTTTTGCACAGAGCATTCTTGTCAATCTGAGAACTGTATCAATATTTCTGATGCGAAAATTATTGTTTTTATCACGCAAACATTTCCTCTGAAATATCAAGATCTGCAATTGGCACAAAGATATCACTTTCACTTTTATTGTTTTCAATTTTATCATACGGCGTTTTATTACTTTATGTTTTATCCAGTCTAATGAACAAGGTAAAATTTGATATCCACAAAGGATATGTTTAAGAAAAATGGGCGAATTCACGTTTGTAGACAAACATTCAATATATATTTAAAAACAGTAACATTTTGCCAAACCAATTTTTTATCATATTTTTGACAAATACCTGCGTTTTTTGTGTGCAACAAAACAATTTATGAATTGCAAAACATTAATTAATATATTGAACACTGGCTATATTGGAAGAATTTCAAACCGTGAAAAGAACAGATTTAGAAATTCTATTTACTGTGAGAGGAAAGCAATGTTTGAATAATTATCCAAGCGTCGTTTCTAAAAAACTTCACAAATGAGTACAGGAGGTCTTCTTTTTTTTTACTAGTAAACCTAGAAAGTCACTAAATGACCTTTTACACTGTTCCATTAAAACGCAAACAAAAATATAATTTTGATCTCAATCAAAAGAAGGAGAAGTCCTTCCGAAGCATGATATGATCTCGTATATTAATGTTAAACGGAAATGAACCCGCTATCACATGAGCTGAGTTAATGACCATACTTATTTCCCATGAGGAACACGTTCCGTTCCTTGTAGTAATGAAAGGGAGCATTATAATTAAGATTTTCTGACCCAATCTAATAGCATTTCATCCACTTCTTGCCATTATCAGCTCAGGAATTTGTCACTTTACATTCTAACAACAAAATGTTACAATATCAGCATCTCTTTGCCATATACATACGAGCCGCGTCATGACAAAACCAACATAATGGTTTTGCGACCAGCAAGGATCCAGACCAGCCTGCGCATCCGCGCAGTCTGATCAGGATCCATGCTGTTCGCTATCAGTTTCTCTACTTGTAATAGAGTTGGTAAGCGAACAGCATTGATCCTGATCAGACTGCGCAGATGCGCAGGCTGGTCTGGATCCATGCTGGTAGCAAACGCACTATGTTGGTTTTGTCGTGACGCGGCTCAAATAAAAAATGTAAAAAGCTCTTAGATCAAGTCTTATTTAAACTTTTAACTTTCATGCATGTTTTAAGGACAGGTGTTTTTTTTTAAACGAATGCAAAAATGATAATTTTATAAAATTCACAAAATATATGTGTTAAGCATTGGGATACATTTAAAGTACTGATCGAAATCTTTGTAATTTTAAACTACTGTCAATTAAGTTTATGAGAACTTTAACTCTCCGGTTTACGAACGAATTACAAACAACATTTCCAACAGCATTATTATACATGTACTCGTACATGTACTCGTACATGTATATGATAAAGCGTTGAAATAGATCGATGAGATATAGTCTGTATTTCTCACAGTACTACAATGTATTTAAATATTAAGAGAAGTTCAAAATTAAAAGATAATCATTGGCTGTCGTGAATACTAAATGTATATCATTACAGTCGGGGGAAAATCTGTCATTCTTTTTAAATAATTAAGTTGTTTCTGGCACTGTATCGCAAGTACGCCTCCTTAATCAATGCTAATTAATTTACATAAAAAAATTGTAAATCTATTTGAAAAAATAAAATATTGTTAAATGAACAATGAAAGGAAATTCACGAATTGTAAACATTCAATCCAAGTAAAAAATCTTAAAATCATTGTTCATTTTTCTCAAAGATGATTTCCTTGATTTCTTTTGGCTCATCTGGAGGCATGCAGCTTTAATTAACGACAATTATTGTTTCAAAGTGTTGAATATTGTTCTGTATTTGAATTTACTGCTTTTAAAAACTCGAGAAATAAAACTCGGCAGACCGTACGTTTTATATGAAATAAAATACTGGAAACGTTGATATTTTTACAAGATATTATCTCTTTCTTTTGCTGTATCCAATGGAGACATTACGTTTACTTCGATAAATGAGGTAAGTTGACAGGTATTATATATAAACTAATGCATTAAATCACCGTGATTTAATTCTCAAATGACATGATCTTTTTAAATAATGCCTATTAACCTATATTTTCTTATATAAGAACAATTCAGAGGTCAGAAAAATATAGTTTATCAAATGTTTAAGGGTAGAATAAAGAGAGAAACAAACGTTCAAGTCGTATATTTTGAGTTTAAGAAACATTAAACACTATCAGGACTGACAGGCAACTGCCTCATTCAGATAAATATTTACCCATACACACCTAGTTTTAGTAGCAGACGACCAAGGTTCGAAACTCAATAGGGAAGTTACTTACAGACTTGACAGCCAGTCTGATTATTTCAAGATCACTGTCTTAAGTTGGCAATTATATACCGGGCATACGTCTATGTGATAAATGGAATATATTCAAACACAAATATTGTGCCAATATTTGTTATTCATCTTGTGACTCTTACAGTTTTGCTTGTTGACATCACAGATTTATATTACATTAATTGTAATTAACCCTCAACCTGCTAGAACCAAAAGTGATCAGCCTTTGTCACAAGTATAGAGCCAGGCCAGCCTGCACAACCGTGTAGTCTGACCAGGCTCTATACTGTTAACAGCTAAACTTTTGTATTTTTGTATATATAGCCATGATGGCCCTGAGGTCGCTCACCTGTATATAGGCCCCCGGAGCAGGGCCAGTTTAAACCCCAGGGCTTTAATTTGAACAAACTTGGTAGGCACCCATAAGAAGATGTTTCATGCTAAACATCTAAGCTCTAGCTCATTGGGTTTTTTAAAAGTAGATTTTTAAAGTTTTTACTATACACATACAGTTAAAAACAATGACACCCCTGGGGTATGGCTGCCAGTTTTGACCCCAGGGCTTTTATTTGAACAAACTTTGCCAACACTTACTAGAAGATGTTTCATGCTTAATATCTAAACTCTAGCTATTTGGGTTTTTTCAAAGAAGATTTTGAAGTTTTTGCTATACACATATCAGGAAAATCAATGACCCCCGGGGTGGGACCAATTTTGACTCCAGGGCTTTTATTTGAACAAACTTTGTAGACACTCACTACAACATGTTTCATGCTTAATATCTAAACTCTAGCTATTTGGTTTTTTTTTCAAAGGAGATTTTGAAGTTTTTGCTATACACATGTCAGGAAAATCAATGACCCCCAGGGTGGGGCCAATTTTGACCCCAGGGTTTATATTTGAACAAACTTGGTATACACTCATTAGAAGATGTTTCATGCTGAATATCTTAGCTCAAACTCTTTGGGTTCTTTAAAAGAAGATTTTTTAAGTTTTTACTATTTGCATATAGGGAAAATCAATGACCCCCTGGGGCAGGGCCAATTTTGACCCCAGGGATTTTATTTGAACAAACTTGGTAGACACTCATTAGAAGATGTTTCATGCCAAATATCTAAGCTCTAACTCTTAGGGTTTTTAAACGAAGATATTTAAAGTTTTTTATTTTGGTTGCCATGGCAACCAGAGTTCTGCATGTAATTAAATTCTTTGAACAATTTTTAAAGGTGACCACCAAAGGAACATTCCTGTGAAGTTTGGATGAAATTGGCTTAGTGGTTTATGAGGAGATGTCATTTAAAGTAAAAGTTTACGGACGGACGGAAGACGGACAAAAAGCCATCACAAAAGCTCACCCTGTCACTTTGTGACAAGTGAGCTAAAAAGGCCCTGGAGCCTATACTGACAAATAGGATTTGATTGACTTATGTTTGTATAACACAGCCCTAATCACCATTCCCTGCAACATTCTTCATGTCCATGTCAAATATATAAGATCAATTAAGGACATTGAAAATTAACTATAATGTGTTTTGCCTTATAAAGTTCAAACATCTCTCAGTTTGGCAGATTGTACTGATAAGGGGAGAACACTGCATAAGGGATTGTATAAATTTATGTAAGTTGCTCGTATAAACAACCCTTTATTGTGCTTCAGTTTGTCTTAGTTTAAATACCATTGGTTACCCAATTAGTACATATGCATTAAGACCACCAATTTGCATTAAGTCATTAGCATTTGAGCAGCGTCACAACAAAAACGACATAATGGGTTTGCGACCAGCATGGATCCAGACCAGCCTGCGCTGATCAGGATCCATGCTGTTCACTGTCAGTTTCTCCACTTGTATTAGAGTTGGTAAGCAAACAGCATTTATCCAGATCAGACTGCGCGGATTAGCAGGCTGGTCTGGATCCATGCTGGTCGCAAACCCAGTATGTTGGTTTTGTCATGACACAGGTCACTTGTACCTTTGTTAAAACAAATGGACACAGGAATAATTTAATACATCAGAGACAAGGTAAACTGTTGCTTTATAAACATTTATTTTACCAATGACTAAATATCTAACAACATCAATAAGCATCAAGACCCACCACTGGGAGGGGGCAACCAACCAGTGGGGGCAACACTCAACTCTTTTTTTACTTCTTCTCAAAGCAAGCAAATAAAAGGCTTACACAAATCTTTAACAACAGCAACATTGTCGCAAAATACACCCGTCACAAAAGCTTTAGACAGAGATGTGGGCATTATAGATATGCATATATAGGAAATGTGCTCTGGGCAAAATCAGGAAATTATATGGATATTTTATCATCTCTAGTGACGTTAACCTTTCAAATATTAACCTAATTTAAATGTGTCACACTTGTAGTCATAATTATTACTTGTGTTACAATCCATCAATAAATGATGACGAGATGGCGAAATGGTCCCCCGTACACAAATTTTGACCTCTCTATGTGACCTTGACTTTGGTAACAGGTACCTGGATTATGTGCGCAATCAGCCTCACAATGGTGAATATTTGTGCCAAGTTAATGAATGTAGAAGTTTGGCTCAAAACAAGCTATTTTCACTGACCTCTAAGTGTGACCTTAAACTTTAACCTAGAAAACTGATTCATACACGTGACACTGCTTCTCATAGTGTTGAACATTTCTATGAAGTTTTATTGGAATCCCACCATGCATGGCGGAGATATGCACTGGACAAAGTTCTATATTTTATCATCTTAAGTGACCTTGACCTTGATATATTCACCTAAATTTCATGTTTTATACCAGTAGTTATGATAGTGACCATTTGTGTTTCAATCCCTCAATAAATGATTACTAAAGTGTCCAAAATACATTTTCATATTTTTATCTGGAAGGTTTTACCTCTTTAGTGTCAGAGTTATGTCACAGACAAAGTTCAAAGTGTAAAAACAACCCAAATGTTGCGTGTGACATGTCATCTCAGTATGGTGATCATTTCTGTGAAATAGTTGTAAACCAAACTTGAAATAACGAAGATATGGGCCGGACACGATTTTGCTGCAAGGTCCTGCTGTGACCTTAACCTGCAATATGGTGATTATTTCTGTGAAACAGTTGTAAAATATCTCATTTGGACCAAAATTGCTGAGCTTATCACATATGCTCCCCCGAATTTTTTGGGAAGCATAAAAAGTCAAGAATAAAAATGGTCTAAAACTGGTTGTTCTAAAGCTGAAATCACACAATTGTAATTTGTACAGTTACATTCATTACATGTACATAGTTTTTTAACCATTATTAACATGTATTATCATATGTTGCTTAAGACCACCAACTGTACTAAAAGTACACTGACAAACGCCACATGTAAATGTTTTTTCTCCTGTATGTAATCTCATATGGGTTTTTAGATGTACTTTTTGTCTGAATGTTTTATCACATAGACCACATGCAAATGGTTTTTCTAATGTATGTATTCTCATATGGTTTTTCAGACATATCTTTTGTCTGAATGTTTTATCGCACACATTACAATGAAATGGTCTTTCTCCTGTATGTATGGTCATATGTTCCTTTAGCACTGTCTTCCTGCTGAATGCACTATCACATATATTACATTTAAATGGTTTTTCTCCAGTATGCACTCTTAAATGTATTGTAAGATAATTCTTTCGAGCGAATTTACTATCGCATTTATCACATTTATATGGTTTTCCTACTTTTTCTCTTTCTCCAGTATGGATTCTCATGTGTTGCATAATACGACTCATTTGCGTAAAACCCTTACTACATAAATTACATTCATATGGTTTTTCTCCTGTATGTATTCTCATATGTTGTTTTACGTGACTCTTTTGTTTAAAACCTTTTTCGCATACATTACATTTAAATGGTTTTTCTTCACTATGTTTTCTTATATGTCTCTTTAAATCGCTCTTATAGTTATATGCACTTTCACAAAACGCACACTTAAACTTTTTTTCAGTTGTATTCATCTTCTTTTTTTCATATGTATTCATTTTCAAGTTTTCACTCATTGTTAGTATGTACAAATGTATTTTTTCTGTCCTCAAAATGTTCCTTCTTCTTTATTCAGCACTGTATTAAAGTTATGTCCAGCTTATTAAAATGTATCCCAATCAGTGAAATAAGTACTGTACAATACTGTGGCAAAACTTGACTCCAACTGCATCACAGGTCACAATTTCTGCAAGAAAATAATATGGAATACATGATTAACAAGAATTTGTAACAGAGTTACCAACATTCTATGAGAAGTTTTATATGAAGCACAAAAATATGCTATTTCAAAAGATGGAGCAAAAGTTTCATCAATGCTAGATCTGCACATGCAGGTAGCAATAAATTTATTAAAGAAATATAATGAAATAACTCCTGTATATGTGTCAACAGAAATACATTTGTATACTTGTTATCACTATTTCAATGCCCCAAAATGCAACAAATACAAAATCAAGACAGAATATGGTCTGTTACAGGGTATATTTCATGCCCAGTCACCAGTCATAAATCAAGGTCTGTTTGCAATTCACCAAAGACATTTTATTTGCATGGACCTGACTTGGCACCATCCCCTTTAACAGACTTTTTAAGGCTTTGACTTCAAAGTGTGACCTTGACCTTAATGTAAGGGTCTAGGTGTTGCCCATGACATGTCATCTTAGTTTTGCTAACATTTTTGCCAAGTAAATCTTAAATCCCTTGATTGATGAAAAAGTTATATACCTCACACAAAATATACTCAAGAACAGTCCATGTCAAGCTTTGGCACTCAAGTGTGACCTTGACATTGAAGGTAGGAGTCTGGCTGTTGCATATGACACATGGACTCATTATTGTAATCATTTGTGCCAAGCAATTTCAAAATCCCTTGAACAATAAAAAACATTATGGACTGCACACAAAATATAACCAAAGAAAATCATGCTAAGCTTTGACATCTTAGTATGGCCTTGACCTTGGAGGCAAGGGTCTGGGTGTTGGGCATGACATATCATCTTATTATTGTCAACATTTAAGCCAAGAATTTTCAAAATCCCTTGATGAATGAGAAAGTTATGCACTTTAAACAAAATATACCTTATAACAATATAAACGATGCAACAGGCGAAATTATAAACATCAAGATTATCACCGTTTTACTCCATTTACAAAATTTTTTGACAAATTTCAATTTGGCTCCCTAGCTTTGCTGTATTCAAATACACTGTGCTTTGAATATGGGAAATGAATGGCTCCGACTATTATGAGCCAGACTGGTTCTCATCTTCAAAGACGTGTGCATTTGAATACGTTTGAGCTGGGAGCCAATTTTGATTTTGTCAAAAGATTTGCGTTGTATAAATTGATGTTGAAGTTAAAAATTGAACATCACAGTGGAGAATAATATCTTCTGTGTCAAAAAGATTATTATGATAAGCACCGGGCCATTATCTCATTTTAACAGAGTAACTTTCTGCTCATCTTCTAAATGTTGCTATTGAATATTTTAACATATTGGGATTTAAGTTCCTCAGAAATTTTACATGTGAACGCCACTTGAATAATTCCCGCTTTTTAAACTTCTAAAGTAAAACACTATCTTAACATACTTGAAGCCAAAAATACCGATACACAGATCAAATCGCCTTGTAACAATATAATTCTTTGACAGCAACATCCTTTTTTTTTTATCTGAAGAGTCCCAAATGTCAAAATTCTCGGCAATGCCTAACCAGTAACAGGGTTAGGGTACGGATTTTGACAAATATTTTTAACATTTAAGACTTCTTTTTTAATAACTTGCTCTCAATTAGTACTCCTACGGCATACTGGCGTATGCCCAGCTACGCTACTGCATGTAACTCCCTGGCTGGTGTACTACTTGCTGAAGCATCATTTTCATTAAATATTTTACCCAGAAAATAAAAAGATTATATTTATTCTCTGTTCATGAAAAAATTAAACACACTTCTTAAATTTTGCAAAATGGTAATAGCCTAAATATTAAACTAAAAATTCAAAGGCTTGATTATTGCTTTTAATAAACATATATTGTGCCCATTTGCCAAAAAATAATTGTAACTCCAAACCAAAATCTCACAACTTGCCAGACCCAGCCCAATATAAACTTGGCATCATATACAAGTTCAGTCCATATTTATATTAAATCATTGTTTATGATATCTGTGCAATGCCCTTTTACTATTTAATTGTGCACTTACCAAAAAAAAAAATGAAAAAAATGTATATATACTGGCATGCAAGCAGTACCCGTACAAAAATCTTAGTAACTTAAAAATTATTTTTCATAACACTCACTCACTAAAAACTTGGTTGTTGCACCTCAACATTTAGCTCGTCACACAAATTATGGAAATTCCATTACGTTCTAAACATAGAACAACCCTTACTTATGAGGCCTGCATATGATATGGGGTACTGAAATTATCCATTATTTTATATGAAGAGAAGTAGTTCCCTTACATAAAACATAACCCATGATAATTATACAATGTTGTTATATCAGACCTATTTTTCATCTATAATTGTTGAAGAGACCATTTTCCAAAAAGGTAAGTAGATGTAATTCAGGACTAAACGCTGGTATCTATTGCCCGGTACCATTTCCCCAACGCATTGGCATGCATTGGAGTGCTTGTATGCATGCTATTTTACTCATTGAAGCCATAAAATTATATAACGTAGTTTTACAGGTAAAATTCTGATAAATTAATGTTCAGGTTTTCATTGCCCACTTATCTGTACACTGGTGGTATTAGTGGAAACCCTTTAGCAGGCCTTATATGTAGGTATTTGTGCGCATGCACGCAAGGATGGCATCCCCCGATGTTTACAAGGTCACGTTTTGACAATGCACAGGTTAAAATGATTTAAAATGTTAAATACATACTGCCTAACTGAAACTTATATTTTGTCTTGTTCATACATGTGCTTGATTTGATATCAACTTTTAAAGGATACAAGTAAAAATCAAGAGTTTAAACGAAAAATACCGGTACGGCTTCTGTACGGGAACTACTCGCATGCCAGTACAGTATTAAACAAAATTATAAGAATTTTACAAGTATTTCTGAGAGTGAGATTGAGTGAGAATAGCCAAATTAATATTGCTGGAACAGTTTGACCCACTTTATTGCTTGTCTTGTTTCCTCTAGGTACTTTCAAACCATTAAAACGGTTTGAATCAATTTTCCATGTATAAAAATGACAGTTATGATTATGTGTAACAGTTTAGATAGATTGACCTTTTCGAAAACCTAGCTAAACACCGTTTTCCGGTACATTAAGGATTTAGCTCTGGGGAATTACACCAACTGAAGTACATAACACAGTTACATGATATTTCTATTTTTTCATCATTATTGTACCGTTTGAGGTGAAAAAAATTGATGTACTTGAAAATTATCAATATTCCTTTAATATCTATTGCAAATTTTTCAAAAAATAAATTGTTTATGTTGTAAATCAATAAAATTAAAACAGACGTAGTGGAATCTTCCATAATAAATAAGGTTATTTTCTGCGTAAACTTGTGTATTTATATACTTTACTTTTTGTATGGAATTATTCATACAATGATATTTAATTATTTTCTTATAAAGACAAAACTGTTTTATTTCAATTTAATTTTAAAAAAAGGCCGAAAACATCGAGTTCACTATTACACTCCACTCTAGGTGAATTCCCCAGAGCTATGTACAGAATGTACCGGAAAACGGCGTTTAGGTACGTTTTCGAATTCGTGAATAGTCTGTAAAATGGGTCAAACCATACTGACGACCACACAGCACAATATGTATTTAATACGCTAAGGATAACTAAACGAATCTTACTATAATATAATATATATAATTAAATACATGAATCTATTCTTAAGCAAAAGTAGAAATATTAATACTATAGTATACTGTTGTACTAATCAATTAGATAAAATACTTACACAAACTGTTCTCATTATGACATGGCGTCTTACTATCAAAGGGCAGTAACTCATGTATAATTTGTTACAGTGCACTGACGATCGAGAGCCCACACGGACTCTGCACAATATTGGGATATAGTGAGAACCCTGTGTTGGGATATTGTTAAAAGTAATCATGGAAAAAATTATACTGTATTGTATATGTGTGTGTAATATATTATATAATTATACAATATATATTTTTTTTTCTAGAATTACTTTTTACAATATCTCAAGTTGGGATCACAAGGTTCTCACTAGGTCCAGGACTATCAACATAGGAGTCCAGGAACTCCCAAGCCGGAAAAAAGTATAAGAGTCTCATATCACATCAAAAATATGTTTAGCCGTCTTTGCTGCAGTTGATTAATAATAAGCAGAGTAAGGGGGGGGGGGTCAAGAATTTGAACCGAGAAAAATCTTAATTAGGAAAATGCTAATTTGTAAAGGAAAACACTGTATGGTAAAAAAGAAGGTAATTGAAAATATTTGAAGAATATTTTTTCAAACCATACATTGTCTCTACCCATGAATATTAAAACTAAAAGCATTATTTATTACAACTTATAAAAGAACTAGTTTTAATTTTTCGCTTATTTGAGAAAGTCAAAGGACAGGACTGTGAAACTGGCCCGGGCTTTGGCTTGCCCGACTATAGACTACATTTGTATATTTAAAAGAAAATCAACAACTATATCAAAGATATGCTTTATTTACCAAGAGCCGAGGGCATTTCTAAAAAATTAAAGAACGGTTTGCAGAATAAAAATAAAATTATAGATATGGGGGTCAAGAAGAGGCCACATTGTGACATAACCAAAGTGTCTGTGCTTCTTCAATACAGGAGATAAGTATTGTTACCGATGTGTCAAGTAAATAATAATTTATATCACTTACTGTATAAGACCATAGGCACTAGGATTCAAAGCTCACAATTTTTTAAAATCCGTAAATGAAACAAGATATTTGGTATATATAAAATTCTAAATATATAAAGAAATTGAAAATCATAGAAGGTTGTGGAACCGAGTACCTATGTCTTCAGAAGTTCAACCGTGATAATTAACAATCGCGGCAATAACAACTAGGTTGAATGTCACTGTAACACTCGGCCCCTTCTTTGCCCGATTTGTACATTTTAACCAGTCAATTTACAATGGAAATAATAAAAATTGCCTTAACAACACTATCAAAACACACACACACACGCACGCACGCACGCACACGCACACACACACAACAGTTGATTTGAACATTTAGCACATAAAAGTACTGGAGGTTTGATGTTCAAAAATTTACCCAAAAGAAGTTGCTAAAGACTTCTGGAATTATTTACTTAGTACAAATGATAAGACAATTAATTAACCTTAAAAATACTAATTAACAATACGAATCTGTAATAAACAGGTATCTTACCTTAACAAATATAATGTATAGACCTTTTTACGACGCGGTCCGTTGCTATGAAAAATATACCGGAATTAGAATTTTCTCGCGCATGCGCAACCTGCGTAGGGCAAGAAATACTTCGCCCTACATAGAAATATAGTAGAAATTCATATATATATAGACAATTCCGAGTTAGTTAGAAAATAATATAAAATAGCTTTCAACAAATATAGAAAAGATGACTTTATAGCTTTGTGGCGAAGAATGCCATAAAAAGGCATGGAAAAGATATTTTATACGATCACGGAACTGACACTGAGATCATTATTTTTTAAAGAAGATGTGGAAATATATCTATAAGCAAATGAAAAGTCAACTTATTTGCTGTTGAAATAGTTCATTTAAAAACAAATGAAATTATATAGCATGAAATGGAGATTAATTATCATTCAGAAAAAAATATCAGAACAGGTGATAATGCATTTTAGTGTTCAATATACCTGATTATATCCTTTATCCGATTTGCCTGTGATGCAAACAGAAAAATTTAAGTAACATAAATAGATTTTAAATAATTAATTTTTTTTTCTCAAAATCTTGAGAAGTTAAAATGGGTTGTTTGGAAAAGATATAACACACATTTTATCCGCTTCTTCGTAATACATATTATTTTTAATAATGCACGCCACGCAATTTTTCTCTTTAATAATCCATAAACATTGATTGGTATATTTAAAAGTTACATAAATTACCATTTTAATAAGCGTAACTGATTAACCATATCGTGATATTTAAACGTCCTGGTTGAATGAACAAACGTTCGCGTGCCAATCTGTTTGACACTTGCCGCCTGACCAATCCAGTTATTCAAAGGACGTGTACAATACAAATTGTGTAATATTATGTAATACAGGGGTAATACAATTTTATGTTTAACACCCTGCTGTTTCAATTTAAATTACTGATGGAAAAGTCGTCTAATGATACCTTAAACAAAGACATGTGTGTGCCCGTTTTGACCATTGAATTATTACTCCCACACATTTTCGTAGATCTGTTAAAAAATAAATTCACGTTTTCAGTAATTACTGCCTTAAGTCATCCCAAAATCAATATTTTTTGGGTGACATAACATGAAATCGCATCTATTAAAGCCTTAAAGTATGATAAACTGTAGACATCGTTATTGCTTTTTGCCCTACGCAGAATGCGCATGCGCGAAATGCAACATTCGTTGCTATGGAAAATCGTATTGTAAAAAGGTCTATATATTTTAAAGATAATCAAAAATATTATTCATGTACAATTAAATGAAAGAAACGCAAAGACAATTATATTTAATAATCAAAAGCTATAAAATGTTAATTATGCATTATGAGAATTTCCTCCAAGATTTACTTTAAATGTTAACCTCATAATATTTTTTATGGATTTTAACAAATGCATTTTAATGTTGATCTTATATAAAATAACATACATGTATACATAAAGTAGAGGTGAATGTTTCCACCTTGTCAAAAATACTACATTCAAAATTGGCCTTTACAATATATTAAAACGAGAGAAAGTTTCCTCTTTTAAAAGAAATACCAAAGCTCTTGACATAAAAATACGAAGGAAGGGACTGGTATGAAAAAGCGTCATGACATGATATGACCACACTATACTGGCTTCACAAAACAATCAACTCGAGAAACCTTTTTCTGTCAGATAATATAATGAAAAATATCAATATAAGTAAACATATTTATAAGACTTTACCGTGAGTTATTAATCTGCTTCTGTCAATACACGTGTGGATGTAGGAAAGACAAAAGACCATTAACTATGGGTAAGAAACATTTTTTTTACTCCCAAATGATTACCTCATCAACGCTGTATTATTCGTGTCAAATGCATTTTGTTTGGAAATTCAGGAATTTATTGCATAAGTTGAATGTTGCATAGAGAAGCCAGGTCCTTTTAACTGAGGACGTCCTCAAAACAACAAAATGGTATAAGTGATAAAAACAAGAATCAATGTGTTCAAATTGTTGTTATTACAAAATGACATAAAGATACCCGATAATGAAAATGCTTGATAACTAAAACAACTACGATTGTCCACCATCTTATAGGTGACTGAATAGTACTTGTATCATAATTTGGGGATCTTTCTGTTGAAAAACTGTCATAGTTAAATCGTATACATATACATGCACAGTGCGTTAACTAGAGTGCAGGTATCAGTTACCCGCACTCCAGAGCATGCCCGTTGATTGGCTCAATTTTGATGTGGTTAACTTCTTATGACGGCATAGAAAGGAAAGGCGGCAGAAATATTATAATCAGAAGCTCTTTCATTGGTTACTTTTTTCTGGGACAACAGGGAACGTTGTTACGTTTGACTATGATACAAAAGAGAAAGAACAACAAAGCACTCGGCTATCTGATTCATACTCGGGGGCTATGCCCCCTGTTACAAATCAGATATCCTCTTTCTATTACTTATACATACTTCTATACATAAGGAAATAACCGGGGCGCATCAGGGGAGCACGTGTATTTATTTAGAATAAAATAAATCGTGTATCAACCCCTTCCACCCCCCCAAAAAAAAAAATTAATAAAAAAAAATAAAAAAAAATAAAAAAATATTCTGATTACAAAGCTTAATTATTTGACATTTTATATGAAGTTGAAAACTATGTTTAATCGAGCCTGCTAATTGACAGTATGGCTATTTTAAGCCACTGTCCATATCCCAAAGCACCGAGTTTACAACGCAAACTTTAACGATTCAATAACAAATATGGCATATGAAACAATTTAGAAACATTTCAAACTGTGATAGAACCGTTAATATGACTTGTCTTGCCAATTTACAAGCAAGAGAACAATTCAAAAGATTCACAAGGAATGAAAAACGTTTATTAGTGAGATTTTGTACCTTTTCTTTTCTTTTCAATTAACAGCAACCTTGCCGCTGCTTAAAGAGCATTAATGAATACAGTGAACGGAATAATTATACCTTAATTAAAATGAACTAACTCTTTCGCTAACATGAAGTGCCTTGTCTGTTCACTAATAGCTAAGAAATGTTGTTGCCAAAGAGGATAATTGGCTGACTTGCCCGAAGCTTAATCACTTCAAGTTCTAGACTCAGTAATGATATTTAGAATAGTACTTATCCCATCAGGCAGGTGAGTTAATTAACAATTTAGGTTATCATTCAGTACTTCTTAAATCATTTGTTTGGTTTAGGATTATTATTTGACTGTTAATTGGAATTATATAAAGTAAAAAAATCATTATTCTTGTTATAAAAGGATAGAATAATTATTTATTATGGACATCTTATTTATCTCAGAATGAAAAAAGTTTTGATTGAACATTCTTTCACTGGTTTAACTATATACCTTCATTGATAAAGTGTAACAATTTACATGCCACGATGAATATTACCAAGTTCCCTTAATGACAATTTCTTTCAATTTAATAATAGTATCTACAAGTGATGGTGGAATCTGTGTCAATTAGAAGATCAACAAATAAACAAATAAAGTGGATGAAGAAAGTCTATTGTTTTTATAACAAAAGTAAAAATGAAACATCCATCAGAGCAAAACTGTTATCAGCATTGAATGGCTTC